ACCTGTTGATCTAAAACTTTCCACAAAGATTGGAGTATGAAAACTTATCAAAGTTCTAAACAAACTGAGTTGTGGTGAGGAGGGGCATGGGTGGGTGGGTGGGGGGTGCAGTTTTCCCTATTTTAATCCCTAAGACCTTGTTCGATTTCACGGGATAGGAGGTGGATCGAAAATGATTGAGAGGGGATTAAATCCTCTGCAAGTCAAATTGCTTCTCATCGCCTCCAATCCCCTGATGTAGAGGATTAATCAAACAAACCCTAAGAGGCTAAGTTGGTAGCATGGCATTGGCATGTTAAATTAGTAAAATCATAATCATAGGAGATCAGAATTAGCTTGGTAGCAAGTGAATTTTTGGGATGTTTGCATAGGAGATCCAAAGCTCAAGCTGCCTAACGTGTACGCTTCTTTCGGGCTCAAACATGAAATTAGAAGTCACTACGGTTATTTTATTTAGCTGAGGTTGCCATGACTTGAACTCGACAACTCTGATCATGCATCGACCAATCGACGAGGAAGGATGGTCAATTAACTTATACTCCAACAATTAGATTTATGGTAGGCGGCGTGTCCATTGACCATGTCCCATTGACCGACATGGAACGCTTTGTGATGATTTTGTATGTTAATCTGCTTGCTTAGTGTCTCAAAGGCGCTTATAGAGCTAGTACGCGGGTTCGCTGGTAAGTTTGCGTGAATATATGCGAACATTTAGGTCTGTATAAATATTTGTATTTGTATTGAAAGAAGAGTATATATCGGTCATGGATAGATCTTTTCCAACACGGACACGGGATACGGGTGTTTTGGCATTCGAGATTTGACAAGAGGTATCATGCACGGTTGCACGCAATGGAGTATGCACACAAAACATGAGTACTAGGAAGTACGGACTACTAACATGCATGGATCAATGGGATGAAATACGGATGAGGCACGCGGTCCTCCAGGGCTGGCTGCTGCATCTGCATGCATGCTGCAGAAGCACACCAGTACACACACCCTGGCCTCCATGATTACCGGTGGCAATGGCAATTGCGTGATCCGAAAAGAGATTCGGCGAGCCCCCCACCGCGGAGGACACCCCGCTTTCTACTTCGTTTTCGTTAGTCCCGTCCGGCCGGCTGGTGGAGTCCGTGGATGCCCCGTGCCGGCTTGCGGCTTGCATTGCCCAAACATCACCAAAGCTAGCGCAGCCCGAGTAGCGCCGTCTGAATCAATAATGCATGTAAAATCCCTTGTTCGTTCTCAGCTTTGGGGTTTGAACCGACAAAACCATGGTCGTAGCCACTGGTTCCCAAAGCATACTAATCGTACTATAGCAAAGCTAATAATATAAACGGGTTGCTAATTCTAAGGGCACTCCTAATACAGAAATCACCATAATTTCTATAGACATTAATTATACTGCCACCTAAATATTTTGCTGATGTGGCAAGGTAGTTATTAAAGAGAGAGCAAAAATCATAGAAACCGGGTCTAAGTTACAAACAATGTCTACACGAGAACCAAGACATGAAGGGATGTGATTGGTAGCGAATTGAGAGAGAATGTATGTGATTGGATAAAAAATTGTTCTGTAAAAACTATCCATTGAGACCATGGTTTCTATATGTAGTGTCTATAGAAATTAATAGGTATAGAAACTACATGTAGTTTTTCTTGGTTCTGGTGCCTAAGTTGGCTGTAGGCTTAGAACCCACTTCCCATCTCTTTCTTTCACCTCAGCATTTAGCCAGTTTCCAGTCTGTTATTTGGCTTGCTCTGATGGTGCAGGAGAGAGAGTGTGTGGGAGATATAGGGGGGGGTTGTTTGGAGTGAGGACACCAAACCAGGGCCCCATGGAGAGTGATATCGTGCTCGGGAGGAGGGCAAGGAACGAGAGACCCAGGCAGACGCTCCATCTGCATTCTGCATGCATGCAACGCCGCAACTCGTGCTCTCCTTTCGTGAGTCGTGTGACTGAGCACTCACTGAGCCAGGCACCGCCCACACTGAGCATGGCCGTTGCGGCGGCCTCTATGGCCAGCCAGCGTCGGGCCATCGGCCTGCCGGCCCCGACCCGAGCGGCCACTACTGACTTGCGACTTCCACCACCCAGCGGCCAGTGCAGGGGCCAGCTCGAACCCCAAATTCCCAAGCAAAACTGGCAGCTTTTTTGCGAGCCCTGCCCTGGCCTTTGCATCAACAGCCAGCCACTGTGCCTGCCTGCAACAGCGGCCGCAGCCTTGCACGTACAGTCGCACCGCACAGGGGCTAAAATGGGAGGCTACGGCCTGCTGCCCCGCTACAGCGCCAGGCTAGGAGGTGCCCTGCCCGGCCACGGCCACGGCCACATGCGGGGCGACAGCTATACGCCTCGCCGACAGTGGTGCCCGCCGCATGCCGAGGCTGTGCCCAGTAGCAGACTAGCAGTAGGGACCGGAGACACCGGACACCAGAGGATGGAGCCATGGAGGCCTAGGGACCTCCCGTGCCGTGCGCGCCTCGGTACGTTGACCCAGGTCAAGAACCATTCTGCATTGCTGTGCGTCCACTGTACGATGGAATTTTCGACCTGTTCGCTGATTCATGTAGCAGTGTTTCTCTCTCACAATTAGACTCATCCTGCTTATCAGCCGTAACAAAAATAATTGATTTTGTAAAAATCTGTATTCTTCAATGCTACTAATCGGTATAGGCTGTGTTCTATAAAATTCATTCATGTGGAAATCTTGTAAAGTTCATGCGTTCTAAGGGTCCGTTTGGATAGGTGAAACCGATTCGTTTCTGCTGAAAATCGCAAGAATCAGCGCCAAACGGTGTCTTGGCCGAGCGTTTCGGAGCCGGAATGTTTCGTGATTCTTTCCTTGGCGGACGAAACAGATGCAGCCTGGTTTCGCATCGATTCGTGTTTCTAACTCACACATGCGCCTCCCCTTCCATTTGATAGGAATTACAAGATCTGCCATCGCCCTTATCTGCTTAGCCCTTCAGAAATACGAGTACCTACAGACCCAGTTAGTTTAGAAAAGAGCTCAGTTAGTTTAGAAATAGTTCGGGGTTCTCAATGCAAAACTTTCAAATCTTAAAAGCATATAAGTTTGAGGGGGTCACGTCGCATTACTGCTCATCCGACGCGCCCATCACATATTACTGTATATGAACAGTACCCGACCCGCTAAGAAACAGTATCAACATTTTTTTTTTTTTTTTTTTCTCCTCACCATTTTTCCCCCTTTCCTCTCCTTCCCACGCGGAGCGTGGGGGCGCACGCTAGTTTTCCTTTATTTCTGTACTCTTTTTTGTTATGCACAACGAGTGAATAGCTATAGAGTTGTAAAATCATTATAAAATCGAAATAAAGTCTAAAAATTGCAAACTATGATTTTAGATTCCTTTCACAGAGATCTATCGCCCGAATGGGGAAAATCACTTATTGCTTGAATAATATTTTCTCAAGAATTATTTGTATGAAATATGCAATATATTTTAGGAAGACATTGCCTTTATTTGCCCTATAATTACTTAAGGAAAACCCATAACATGTCAAGGGCACTTTGATCTATTCAACCACATTCTCATCTCTTCAGAATCTGAATCCAAGCAGACAGTCAAACAATTTCAACGAGTGATTCTATCTCTCCGAGAAACGTTTTTAAGAAGAATATGGGACTACTAATATTTCTTTTAGAATCTGGAGCCTACCAAACGAGGCTAAATATGTCTTCAGCGTGAACTGGACTAGTACTCCGTTTGAAACCCAACCTACCGTATAAAAAACAATATTTATTGGTAATGCTCAAGAAGAAAGGTGGTTTTCTTGTTTATTATATATTATTCCACCCTTATGTACACTTCTTTGCATTTTTTTTTCTAAAGCCTGTTCAACCTCGTATCACCTAGAACAAAACTTTGGACTTCTTAAAAGTCTCATGCAAACATTCTCAGGGAAATAAGAACCGTACAAAATAGTTTTTTTTCGACTTTTTTATTCGTTTTTTTTATCTAGAGATATGCGTCGAGAGGGAGGTTGCAACTGGAAGGCCAATCTCACACTGAACTCCCAATCCGGTTCCTGAAAGATGGCACTCAAGTGTCAACGTGTCACGAGTCCTGAATAATTCCACATTTTCGCCTGTGATGTGAGCAACGGTGACATCTGACATGCCGTAAAAACAACAACTTTGGTCACCATAGTCAACCCACGTGGTTTTCGCCTTCCTTTTTTTTTCACCCTCCAGCTTTCGAACAGGATAAGATCTTAACCGCGCACAAAAGTAAATATTCATTGATTCATTCACCCAATACGATTGCAAAGGGGTGAAAAGGCTGGATTCTGCACGACAGTAGTAGTACTACTGCTACCATAACCACTATACTTTTCCATGCCTCGGTCTGACAAAGAAACAAAGCGCAAGAACTCCCAACTTTTTTTTTGATATGGAGAAAAGAAAAGAAATCGGAAGGCCGGGCTTGGTCGCTACTCGTTAGATATAATATATAGCGAGCCCAGGTCAAGGAAGCCGAGAGGCCTTGTTTAGATGTCATCCAAATTCCAAGACCGAGAGTATTAAATGAGACTAATTACATAGTTTAGTTGGAAATCACGAGAGGAATCTTTTAACCGCACTCGAAGTTGTCTTATTTAGCAGTAGAGCAGAGAGAGGCAGTAGCAGGCTATAGCAGCAGTAGTAAAGAGGCATGTAAATGCCAGCCGCGTCTCCTCACCAAACCAAACCATCCGTCGTCCGCGTCTCTCTCCTCTGTCCTCGGTTGCCCCCGTGCGTGTTTCTTGGGACTACGACCTGCTGGCCCTCCTGGCCTGCTCCCTCCACAGAGCAACGAGAGAGCCCGGGGCAGGAGGAGGCGTGAAATGTAACCAAGGGGAGGGACACGCCGAGCTGAAGCCGCACAGAAGCTGTCGTCAACTTCCACTCCAGTCCACTCCACTCCAAGGAGAGAGTGAGAGGTAGTAGCTGTAGCAGGGAGAGCGGCGTCGCATTTCCGGCCCGTCCGCCATGAAGTTCATGAAGCTTGGGTCCAAGCCGGACGCCTTCCAGACCGACGGCAGCGACGCCAGGTGATCCCCCGCCCCCGTCATCTTCTTCCTCCTCCTCCCTCCGCCCTCCGCCATTGCAGGCCGTGATTGCTTCCGTCTTTGCCGCCGTGATCGAACGGAAACGCGTGTTCTTGGCTTTGCTCTCGGACGTTCACTTTCAGTCTTTCAGAGGAAGTTCTCGCTCTCCCTTTGTAGAAGAAAATGAGGGAGGCTAGTGAACTTCTTGCCATATCTTCTAGCGTCTCTGTTCCGGTAGGAACAAGAACAACAGTGCAATGCTATGTTTTCTTGGTTGATTCCTAGCCTCCTAGGTCCCTGCTTCTCTCTTACCTACACAAGCAATGCTGCGTTTTGTGAAGGAGGAGAGAAGAACAAAAGGCCTTGCTCTGCAAGCATGAATCTTTCGGCGCGTGTCTGTGAGTTCTTGATTCGTCGACGAAAAAAAAAGTGCCTTTTCCGTTCGGTTACGGTCTTACAGAACCTGGCGTGCTGTGATTGTTGTGCGATGTGTACATGTGGGGGCTGCCGCTGCTCGTCATGAGTGCTCGTGTGCTACGTGGTTCCCCTGCACGGCAGCTGATTTGACCAGGGCACCCACCCTTTTTTGCCACCAAAAAGTCCCTTTTGGCTGCGCAAACAAAGTCGTAGCAGTTGTTGTAGTTGTTGAGGTGAGGATCATGAGATTACATTTTTTACTGATTGTGTTGAGGACCACATTGATCCATGATCTTCAGCTTTGTATGGATATCTTGGACTTGCTCCTAACTTGCAAATCCTTTCATTCCATTTTTGTTTAAAGCCACTCCACCCACCATCCATGTTTCTTTTTTCCCTGTTCTGTAATCTGTATCTGTATGTGAGTATGCTTTGATTATATATTTGTGTACTTCAATGACTGTCACCATTTCTAAAAAAACTGGGTACTTCCTTTTTTTTGCCGCAAGAAAATGGGTACTTCCATGACTGTCCCTGTTTCTCACGGAAATCAGATCTACAGTACATTCACTTCAACTGAGAACAAGTGCAAGAAAATTCTGAAGGAAAAACAAAGTGGGATACTGTACATGTACTTGACTTGCTTTGAAAGGTGTACCCGTTGTGTCGTGCTAACTAGTACTAGATGTTGTTTCTGCGTTTTTTCCCCCTCATGTATGCTATACTCTCTTCTTATGAATGTTCATTAGCAATCATGTTATGTTGACTATGTCAATCTCCATATTCTCATGCAGATACGTTCTGTCAGACCTTCCGTCAGATATCCTCATCCATGTCGAGGATGCAAGGTTCTATCTGCACAAGGTAATCCCGTACCATTTTACTTAAGTTATGAACCTAAGTAGGTTAAATCGCTGACTGTTTCGCCCCAAAGCTACTTGTGTACTTGAGAGTTAAAACAATGGATCCGCCAACATACAGCTATCAGCACACTAGAAGATGCTGCAATAGTAACATCTTTTGTCAGGCGCCACTTGTAATTTGGATCTTTGTTGCTTTCGGAATCTTTCCCACGGTTTCTTTAGATCATGCTTCAATTCCCATGAGCACCTTACATTCTGCTAGGTGACAGCAATGCACGTACCATGCAATTAAGAAATGTCCTCTTGTTCAATACATTGACAGATAATAATGCTACAGGAAATCTAGAAATGTCTACTGTCGTATTATATGGCCATTTCGCTGCAAGAATTTTGGTGGATTTGTCTCTGAAATTTTGGTCACTCTGCTGTCCATTTGCAGTTCCCTCTTCTTTCCAAGAGTAGTCTGTTACAAAGGCTGATAATAGAGGCTAGTCAGAATGGCACTGATGAAGTTGTCATCCAAGACATTCCTGGTGGAGTGAAAACCTTTGAAATATGTGCAAAGTTCTGCTATGGCATGGTGGTGACCCTCAATGCGCACAATGTTGTCGCAGCAAGGTGTGCAGCAGAGTACCTTGGTATGACCGAGGATGTTGAGAAGAGCAACCTGATATTTAAGATCGAAGTGTTCCTGAATTCCGGAATCTTCAGGAGCTGGAAGGACTCAATCATAGCACTACAGACCACTGATGCATTATTACCATGGTCAGAGGAGCTTAAGTTGGTCGGTAGATGCATAGACTCCATTGCTACCAAAGCTACCGTTAACCCATCGAATGTTATGTGGTCATACACCTACAACAGGAAATCTGCATCCTCTGATGAGATAGTTGAAGCTCGCAAAAGCTCGCAGGCGGTTCCTAAGGATTGGTGGGTTGAAGATCTGTGTGAACTTGATGTAGACCTCTATAGGCGTGTCATGGTTGCAGTTAAGTCAAGGGGGAGGATCCCCTCTGATGTTATCGGAGAAGCGCTGAAGGCATATGCTGCTAGATGGCTTCCTGAATGTTGTGACACGCTGGCAGACGACGCCTACTCTGAAGCATACAAGCATCTGCTTGAAACCATCATCTGGCTTTTGCCCTCGGACAAGGGATCTTCAGGGATCTCGTGTGGTTTCTTCCTGAAGCTGCTGAAAGTCACTGTCCTAATTGGTGCTGGAGAGCTCCTGAAGGAAGAACTCATGGACAGGATTGTGTTGCAGCTCCACAAGGCTTCGGTCAATGACCTTCTGATCCCTTCCAAGCCTCCGGCACAGACCGTTTATGATGTTCAGCTAGTTCAGACACTTATCAGCAGGTACATGAGCCATGCCGGGGTAGCTCAAGCTGGGATTTTTCTCAACAACCTTGACCAGGAGATGTTTGAGACCAATGTAGACAGTGAATCTTTGCTAGCATTGTGCAAGCTGGTGGACAGGTACATAGCTGAAGTTGCCTCTGATCCAAATCTGTCCGTTTCAAGCTTCGTGGATTTGGCGACTTCCATGCCGGAAACAGCCAGACCAACACATGATGGATTGTACACTGCTATCGACGTATTTCTGAAGGTATGTTTCACAGCAGCCATTTACAGTATAATTCTTCATATGGAGCTGCCACTTTGTTTGAAAACTGAGATACCTAACTAAAATTGTTTGCCCTGTGATGTTCAGTTGCATCCCGGGCTACCCAAGATGGAGAAGAGGAAGATCTCGAGCCTGATGGACGTAAAGAAGCTGTCCAAGGGGGCATGCATCCACGCGGCGCAGAACGACCGTCTCCCGCTGCGCGTGGTGGTCCAGGTCCTCTTCTTTGAGCAGCTGCGCGCCGCGGGAGCTGCCGCCGCCGCCGCGACGCCCAACGTCAGCGTGGCGCGGTGCATGGCGCGCCTGGCGGAGGAGGAGGAAGAGGACGAGAACTGGAAGGAGGGCCGCGCGCTGCTGGAGCCCCCGACCCCCGGCGCGCTGAAGAAGCAGCTGGGGAGCCTGAAGCTGGGCGTGGGCGACCACCACCAGGGCGCGGGCGACGACGGGCGGCGCCTGGTGGCGCGGAGCAGCAGCGTGGCCAACCAGAGCAGCCGCCTGTCGCTGTCGTCGCGGTCGCGGAGGATCTTCGACAGGCTGTGGATCGGCGGCGCGAAGCTGCCCGGGGAGGCCGCTGCCGCTGCCGCCGCCGCGGTGGGGAAGGGGTCGTCGGACACGTCCGGGAGCTCGCAGAGCCCGCGGTCGTCGGCGAAGCCGCTGGAGTCCAAGTCGTCCAGCTCGTCGTCGAGGAACCGGCGGTACTCGGTCTCGTAGGCAGGGCGGCCGGCGGCAGGAGGCTGTACAGAGGAAGGAGCCTGGTCCAAGCCTAAACATGAAGGATGGCGAGCTGCTGCTAACTTTCAGAGTTAGTGTTGATCACAAAATGCTGCAGTATGGCATGGAGCTAGAAATCTTTGTTCGGTTCTGGTTTCTGTAACAGACTTGGCAATTATCACCCTGTTCGCTCGAGGAACTATTTTTCAGTCATAAAACATCATTTTTCTCTCACAACATTTCATCTTAAACATCAACGAGTGTATGCTAGACTCGAAACTCGACGAACTGGGCAATCCTTTTTGGCGGCTCTGTCTGACGGCCAACCACGAATCTATGCGATCAGCCTTTGGGCATTGTCCTGAATGAATTCCAAGAAGTTAGTAGCTAAGTGTACGAATGTTACAAAACAATCATACGAGCCGGAGCCCTCTATCGTATCATTCATTCTTTCTGCATCAGGGACGATCTTTTCGCTAAGCCTACGTTCGAATGTTGGACCAAAGGCCATGCGATTCCAGTCTGCCGCCAGCACTGCACGGTGAGTCGGTGAGGATGTACGATGACTACTGCTCCGTGGACGGGGACGGGATGTCGGGATGAGCTCAGTTTTGTCCTGCTATTTTGGGGCCGCGTTTAGTTCGGCCCCAGATTCTACCGCCGGAATCTAGGTACTGTAGCGGTACTGTTGCGCACTGTAATATTTTATTTTTATTTGGTAATAATTGTTCCATCGTTGACTAATTAAATTCAAAACGTTCGTCTCGTCAAAGTACAACCAAACTGTGCAATTAGTTTTTAATTTCGTCAACATTTAGTACTTCATACATGTACCGTAAGTTTAATGTGACGGAAAATCTTCTTTTTGTATAGTGCCAAATTCTGGAATTTGGGCAACTAAACATGGCCTGGGATAGGAGACGCTAGTTTGGCCGGCGAAGCGAAACGTTTGTCCCCTGAAGAAGAAAAGCGTCTCCGCTTGTCCCATGCATCCATCCATCCATCCATCCTTCCATTCCATCAAAGCAGCAATGCAAGAACGCATGCAGGTGGTGGACTGGTGGTGCAGTGCAGTGCAGGGAAACTGGACATGCGGAGGATGATTAAAGAAGCAGGGCAGTTCTCGGTTGGCTTTACAGTTAGTTACCGTAACACTGAGTAAAAGGCATCCTTTACAAGTTACAAAAGGTGATTAGGAATTCAGGATAAGCCTAAGCTATATATAATCGCGTCGTAACCGCACAGCACAGCAACAAGCTGTTCCTTGCGTCCAAGCCTGCTTTGAGTTCCCGGGGCGACAACCACATTGAACACTGAAACAGACAGACGCGAGATCAACCACTCCGCGTGAAAGGTGAAACTGAAGGCTCTATAAATTAAGCTGCTTTTGAGTACGTAGCCTTTATTTTGCTAATGTCTGCAAGCGACTCTAATCTCAAGCCAAAAAACAAAGGAACCAATATTTTTTCTTTTTCGCAAATTAATTAATTAATTAAGAGAGAGCTGCTTCCTTTCAGGAGTGTATAACAGATTTGCATCACGTTATGGTAATAATATGGTCGCAAGTTGAGATGCCAAAGCGTGTATCGTTCAGCAAAAAATCGTCCAGCCATATGCTTAGGTTAGATCCAGTAATGTGTAGTATGGTCAGTACTATTAATTAGTCACCATGTAAGGCATTTTGGTGACATGGCAGGTGATTAAAGAAGAAAGAGATAGGAGCAGTATCATCGTAAAAGATACAGCTGGGGCACGAAAACCACATGATATTTAGTATGCTACTCCTAAGAAACCACACCATGATACGGTGATGTATATAATGCATTGTAAAGGTTGAATTCTGTCTTTGTATGACAGAGTTATTCTGGAGACCGTGACATAATACAATGGATTGGAAGAATAAAAAACAGTATCAAGTAGTACATCTTCGTACAATAAAAGCAATTCATATGTCATTGTAATTTGTAGCAGTGCTTGGATCCTTCTCTAGGAAGAAAAACCCTTTGTGTGTCCACGACTGCTACATTTAGGTACGAATCTGTGATGCAAAGACTTGGGTTATAAATCCTATGAAATTCTTACGGCATGACTTGTGCCAACGTGCATGAGTACATACTAATGGAATGATTATACATGAGTGCTATAGAAAAATATATGTTTTATTACAGCATGTGTGATCAGCAGCCGTGGCTGGCTGAGTGGTGCGATGGGCAGCTAGAGTACTTCACGTGGACGGCCAAGGGACATGGCAACGGTGCCAAATAAAGCCGATCAGATCCACAGCAAGCAAGTGTTGAACCGTTAAAAAATAAACTGACGCGTGGGACTTTCCAAATAGATGGAGAATGCAAAATAAAGTATATCTGTTGTGGTGGGTTTTATTTTGCACGTTCCCTACACTCCATGTGCCTCCCACGCTCACGCCCCGTGCCCACGCGCCTGACCGCACCCGTGCTACCCCGCCACCCCTCGCCTACGCCCCCGCGCTAGCACCCCACCGGAGATGAAAACGACGGCGGCGGCCTCCCTCTCCGGCCTCTCCCCTTCTTTCCTCTCCAAATTTGTCGAGCATAGAACGGTTCTGGGGGAGGCAGACTAGCCAGGCGGTGGGGACGAGGGCGGGCGGCTTCGGGTCTTGGCGGCCAGGCCAGGTCACGGCGGGGGTGTCGCGGTCGTGCTCATCAGAGTTGGAGAAGATAGCGGCGGCAGGAGGGAAGGAGGGGAAGGAAGCTCCGACAAGACCCTACCGCGCCGCAGTGGGGCGGTGGGGGATGGGCGGCGGCTGGCGCGGACGCGAGGTGGAAGAAACCGCGCGGACGCAAGGAGAAGAAGAATAGTGCACGAGCTACCCAGCCACACGACGAAGATCTGATGGTTGTGAATCTATCGTCTGAAAGGAGGAGAAAAGTCAGGTACCTACCTGAACGTTAGCAAATCCCTTTATTTTGTGGTGCTACATTTTTTTGAGTCTCAAAACACTCTATTTTAGACACAATGTTTATCAACTACTCTCTTGGAGTTGGTAGCTCTTATATCATGCATGTGCTTTGGGGTAAAAAACATCCTTGTTAATGTACCAAAACTCCAAAAGTGCTCCCACGCAAATGACAAAAAACTTCGTTGATCGACACGCACCCAGTGTCCCTGCCACCACACCACACTGGTATCTGATCTCAGTGGAGCAGAGTGCAGACCACGCTGGTCCACATGGGACGCAGATTCAGTGACTTTGCTTGGGAAAGTCTTCCCTATGCTATCCATCGTTCAATCAAGATCCAACGAGGGAGATGGATTCAAGGCCTGTGACCTCTTTCCCCTTCTTCTTACACGCGAACGTCCCGAGCGCACTACTGGATTGAAGACTTGAAAGCTCCATTCGTCGCACCGGACCTCCGGCGGCCAGGTAGTCGCTTGAACTCCGAGTTTTGGAGAGTCTCAGACGAAGCCATCGGCCACTTGGCATCCAGGCATCCATATGCTTCATGATTGTTGGAATTCAGGATCACAAATCACAGCAAAGATCAAATTTGGCTAGCCTAGAACAAGAATGCGTAAGAACAGAAGGTGGACGAACGGCAACTGCCCGAAGGACGCCCGGGAGACTGCCCTTTTTCACCATTGATAGGTTTGAGTACAATGACAAATACAACTAAACCAAAGCGCTAACACGCACTTTTACATGAGAGCTACTTATACCGGCAGCTGTTACACACAATTGTTTAAAAGAAAACTGCCTAAAACAAGATACAAGACGCTGTCAGACACACAATTCAGCAACTGACGTCCAGTGGGCGCGGTCACCACGATCTCCCGTTGCCGCTTAGGCTTCACCACTTCAAACTAAGTTTCCCACCAGCCTCACTTCTCCATCACCCTGATCACGTGTCCAGCATCAGTGTTGACTAGATTAACCCAACATACTCCCCCTTAATCCTGACAAACACTGAGATCTCTAATCCCAAGCAAATGCCTCATCACCACCAATTTCCCTGCTAGCAATGCCTTGGTCATTGCATCAGCTTTCTGCTCATCTGTGCACACTCTCTTCACAATGATCTACCCCCTCTCTACACATTCTCTGATGAAGTGATACTTTATATCAATGTGTTTGCTTCTCCCATGAAACACTGGATTCTTCATCAGTGCTATTGCAGAGTTGTTATCAACAAAGAGAGTCACTGCTTTTGGCTTCTCTTTAGTGATCTCACTAATCAAACTCCTCAGCCACAATGCCTGCTTTGCTGCTGCAGTGGCTGCCATGAACTCAGATTCACATGATGACAGAGCTCCAGTCTTATGTTTGTGAGAGCACCAAGTGATCAAATTTTCATTCAAATAAAATGCCATTCCACCTGTGCTCATCCTTTCCACCACATCTGCACCCAGATTATTGTTAGTGTACCCCACCAACTCTCCAACACTCCCACCTTGAACATACACCAGTCCAAAGTCAATTGTGCCCTTCAGGTATCTCATGATCTATTTAATTGCATTGGTACACATCACTGTTGGCTTCTCCATAAACCTGCTAGCTAGCCCAACTGAATAAGAAAGATCAGGTCTAGAATGCAGCAAGTATCTCAGGCACCCTATCACCTTCCTATATTTAGTAGCATCAACTCTTTTTCCTCCCTTATCAGCATTTAATTTGCATCCAGGTTCCATTGGCAACTCGGTTGAATTGCACTCACTCATGCCAAACTGCAACATAACCTTTTTAGCATAACCTAACTGCTTCACAGTGATGTAGTCCTCCCTTTGATCTACCTCAATACCAAGATAGTAGGATAATAGACCAAGATCTGTCATCTCAAATTCAGTCATCATTTATTTCTTGAAATGATCAATTTTCCTTGGATTCCCTCCTGTCACAATTAAATCATCCACATACACACCCAAGATGACTGCATCATCACCATCCCCCCTTGTGTATACTGCTTGTTCACTCAAGCATCTTCTGAAGTTTAGCTTCTTTAAACTTCTGTCAAGCCTAACATTCT